TTGATTAAAAGGCAAAAATATTTATATGCACACACCTCGTTTTCCATTATCTAAACTTTTTTCCCTCTCAGTAATTAGCTTCTCCATCATCATTTTGGGAGAATGTTAACACCATTGATCTTTGTTTCTTTGATTATGATAAACCCTAATAGGAGACTCCCAGAGGCGGAGGCCCCCCTCGCTTGCCAGATGGTCCCTCTCCACTTCCCATAGTTCTAACCCCGTCTCTCAGGTTCTGCTCTCACCTGGGTCCCCCGGCACCTGCGCCAGCTTTCCAGCCTGGACCCCAACACCTAGGCCCCAGTCCACAAGTTCCTTCTGGCTCCTTGAGAACTCTCTGCCCTGCTTTTACATCTCCTCTCCGTTAGCAAACTGTATCTTCTCACTAAAGGAAAATTTAAGAAAATACACACCTATAACTCTGTTACTTTAACAACCTAAAAAAATTTACTCACATCTACTTCTATTTTCAGAGCTCATGGCGACATTTGTACATGGTTTCTGTCTTAGTGAACATATTTTCCTTTATAATTGGAACTATTTTCTCAAGATATAAGTCATTTTGTAAATTCATTATAAATAATCATATCATATTCCAATAACTTCTGAAGCATAAGTCACCTTTATTTCCTTCAAATGCTGAAATATCCTCCCCCATATATATATTTTTATAGCAACGGCCACAAATATCTTTGTGCAAGTTTGCTTTTCTGTTGCTATGTTTTGGTTTGTTTCTTCAACTGAGTAATGACTTTGTGGGGTTAGGGGCACAAGTGACTCTAAGGGTCTTGATCTGAGCAGATCTGCAGACCCTCACACCTGTAGGGGGGTCAAATCTTGGTGGGCTTCCTGAGGAGTGTGGATGGAGCCAAGGGTCACACAGGATGCACAGAATAGGTGACCATGGGCTCTGGGGTCAGATCGGGTCCCCGTCCTCTAGTGTCTCACTGCTCCATTCCATCTTCTCCTGGCAGGCAACAAAGTCATCTCCCTGCTGCCAGCTAATCGAATAGTCTGATTCCCAACACCACTGACAAGAGTGTTGTAGGGCCTTACATATATGTACATATATGGTACAGCAGGCAGTGTATGTGTCTGGCTTCCTTCTAGTAGTAGTAGAGTTATTGTCAGGCATAGAGTATAGTTCATGCTCCAGGTTCATGTGTGACTACACCACCCACTCACCTACCAGTTGTACAGGTGTGGGCCATGTGGTAGCATTATGTAAGGGGGTCCCCACTGAGCCCACCTGCTGGTGTCCCCTTGTGTAGCACTTCTTCCCTGGCCCCAAGGCTAAGTCAGTGGTCCCTGACCGACAGAAAACATGAGAAGCCAAGTGCTATCCTTTCATTGTATAGGTTCCAGTAACTTGGTAAGTGGAGGTAGATAAATAATGTAGGTGGGCACCACTGTTTGACCCTTTTATGTATGGCAAGTGTGTGGGGACAGTGCTTCATGACAGCTAGCTACTCACCACTTACCTGAGTGAGTGTCTACTCACCACTTACCTGAGCAGGTAAGCTGTGTGCCTGAAGCTGCTCCTCACTTTGTGCTGCCATGTTGAACCAGGGCTATGTCCAGGCCAGAGTTCCAAGTCCCTTGTTAGGAAGCAGCCTCTGTCCCTTGAGGTGGTCATAGGCCTTAGAAAAAGTGAATGTGGGCCCTCGCTGGTGGTGCAACAGGTTAAAAGCACAGCACTGTGGGTATCTGAAGCATGAGTTCGATCTTTGGCCAGGGAGGTGACCCACATGGCACGGCAGACCTCTCCTGACCCCCCAGTGTATTTCAGTAAGTCTGCCTGTTCTGCTCCCCACTCTCTCTGGTGAATCTTCTCACCCCCCTGCACCTCTGACCTGTACCCCATTTATTTATGTATGCATAAATAAATAAATCTTCAACAACAAAAACAAGAAAAAGTAAACCTGGGGCTTATACCCTGTCCCCTCTTTCTCAAGAAGGCCCAAGGTACAACCAAATGCACTGAAATAAGATTAAACTGTGGGCCCTAGAAAGGCCACTAAGAAAGAAATAGGCTATTGGTTAAAAAACAAAAACAAAACTACAACCGTCCTTTTCATACCTTGAGCTGTTCAACTGAATGTGAAATACATTGCATTTTTTTTTAAAACTCCGACAACAAAGCCTATAGAGTCATAAAATTGACATTGAATCACGAACATGAGTGTAAAAGGTTGTCTTTGGTCTCATGATGGCCAGTGGCCTGTCCTGGGCAGCCATCTCAACCTTCGTGGACATTCCCCATGAGGCCCTCAGGAAGGTATGTCGAGGTCAGAGGTCAGTGCGATGAGGCCTGAGCCCCTCCCACCCACAGAGCTGAGGAGAGCAGGTGAGAGCCTCGTCCGTGAACTGTTCAGGCTGACTCACAGCAGCCACTAGTGAATAGGCTGGGGCGCAGCTATTCGTGCTGCCTATGTGTCCCCAGCTGGGGCAGGAACGGGGACCTGATGCCTCCTGAATGGGGAACAGCAACACCCCGATGGCCTCCTGACTCCTCAGTTCTGTTCCTCCGGGCCTGGAGGAGAACTGTACATGCACACACATGCTAACACACATGTGCACAATGTTCTCCAACACAAGACCACACACACATACACGTGCACACGAACACACATGGTATGTGTTCACAGCGCAGTGCAAGAGGACTGACATGCCCACGCCTGCCATTACACACCCACACACACTTGAGCATACACGTGCCCCATCACAGGACTGTGCACAGCGATACCCACCTAGGTGATAGCCAGGTGCCTCTCTGGAGCCCAAACAGGCTTGCCCTGGTTCCTCGGACCCTGAGCAATGTTCAACCCCTGAGGTCTTAGGGACTCTTAGGGAAGGAACCTGATCTTTGATTCACAGCTCAGAGGTTGGGGGACCCTCAGCCGAAGCCATGCTTTTGCTGCTCCAGTCTTGTCAGGGCTCTGGGACCCAGAATTTCTGTGGCCACCTAGGCCTGCATCTCAGAGAGATGCTCCCTCAATGGCCTCAAACATGCCTGCTCTGGCTGGCCTCAGTTTGCCACTTGTGCAGTGAGGAGTGGATCAGACATGGCCTGGGCCGTGTCAGTTCTGGTGGTGAAAGGCTCAATGTCTCTCTTCCCAAGTCCTGGCCGGTTTTTCCTGCATCCCTGCGGTTTTCTGACAAAGGGGCGGGGGTAGAGAGGGCATGTTAGCACTTGAAATGGTCTCACCTCTTGCTATTTTTGCAGGAGGCCTGAACACAATTGTTAAAAATAGAAATAATGAGGGAAAGCAGAAGCTTCTGACCTTGAGTCACGAGGCCAGGACAGGGTTCCCAGTGTCCTCTCGGCTGGTGATGATGAATGATCATCGCACTGCATTTGTCCTTAGCTAATTTATCCTTGGCCTAGAGAGAAAGTTTCTGCTTATTTATTTATTTTTTTTTTCTTAAAAGCTGGAGGTGTTTTGGGCCTGGTGGCTTTGTCTGGTCTTTTCTGGGCATTGTCTCACTGATGATGCTGGTGTCCCAGATGCCATGCTGGTCAGAAGCCAGAGTGGCATATTCAGATATTTTGGAAAGGCCCTGGGCATCTCTCTCATAGTTGCTTTTCTTCCCCCAGGAGGATTCGGGATACTAGTGTCTGTCTTTCTCTCCTCAAGCACTCACCAATCTGCGGCCCCTCTCAAGAGGAGCCTCAAGCCTCCTGCACCCATGAAGAGAGACAAGGGGCAACACAGGTTGCCACCTGTGACCCATGACTCCTGGGATTGATCCAAGGTGCTATTTTCACCTGGACTCATGTTCACAGTCGCTGTGGATTTGGGCCTTGGTCTATGAAAATCTAGGAAGCAGCTCAAGGTTCACAGCTGCAAATCACAATGTGGGGAGAAATCTTGAATTTTCTGGGAGCAGGGAAGCCCTGAACCTGTCTGGACCCATGCAGGAGAGGTGGAGGGACCTAGTCTATGTGAGCACCTAGGTGTGTTTTGGAGACAGCGAGCATGTGTTTCACAAATTCTTCAGGTTCTCGTTTTCCAGAGCTGCTAAATGGGGAAATTCCTCTCACCCCTGACACTCCCATCCAAGGCCTGTCTGCTCTTACAGCTGGAACGTTAGAGTATGAATGTCAAACTTGCTGTTTACCTGCCTGGCTTTTTGTGTGTGTGAGACTTGCAAATGGTCCCTGCTGAAATCAAGAAGGGGGTCTGTGTAACTGCATGTGATTGGACATACCAGAGCACACACATGTGAACACAGACATGGGCCTGCCTAGACCCTCCAGCATCCTTGCTGCCCTGACCCAGGGTCCCCATCGTGACCGTTGGCTGGTGTGTTTGGCAAGCCCTCGGCTTTGGTTGGCAGGTCCTGCTGCCAGCAGGTAGGGAGGTGCAGCTCTCCTAGGCCTGCAGCGAGCAGGAATGGGGACCCTCTTTGGAGACTTCTGGGGTTTCCTCGGGTAGCCAGGAAGATGGCACCAAAGAGACAACTTCTATAAGAAGTTACACTGGCATCATGTCGAAAACTGCAGAAATGTAGAAAATGCAGAATGTAGCCATGTAAATGTAAAAAATTAGAATGTAGGAAATGTAAAATGTAGAAAAAATATAAAACAGAAAACTAAAAAGACTTACCCAAGGTCCCCAAGTTTACAGAAGTCCAGTTTCGCCTTCATCTTTGCATACCAGTGAGCAAAATTATTTTTTGTATTTTTAAAGGTTGGGAAAATTGCTGTTGCAGCGTTTGCTAATGTCAGCCCTGCCAGGATGAGGGAATCCCCCCTCCCCACCCCACCCATGCTCTGGCTGCTTCCCAGAGTTACACCTTTACACGTGATGCCCTGGTGTCCCTGGCCCCAAAAGAGGCCCAAAGAGATCCTAAAAGGTCCCCAAAGAGCAGCAGCATGGTGGCTGGGCTACCCGAACTCTCACTGGCTGGGGTGAGAGGTGTGACTTCGCATTGGAAATTCGGGCTGTGCTGCTTCACCCCTTCTGGCAGGGGAGGGGGGGCGGGGATGGGAGGGACTTTACCTCACAGGGGTGGCAGAGGCCAGACCACACAGATCCTGTGTGCCCAGAAGGCAAGAAGGGATGGGAGGCACTAGGGGTACTCACTGACACCCAACTGTGGGCGGTTGCTGGTCAGTGGGGTCACAGCTATGCTCTGTGGTGATGGGCCACCCCAGAGGAGGGAGACGCAAGCCCTGTCTAGGAGGGTTCACAGGAGTGGTGACCCCTGAAGAGACCCTTAGGGTATGTATGGGAGTTTGCCAGAGAGGGGGTGGAGGGAACGTCAGGCTCTTCACGGGGTTCCCGCCATGTTTTGCTTCCCCACAGCTCATGGGACCCACAGCTTTCCAGTAGAGGCAGCTTTCCTATTTGCGATAATCAGAAACCCAACTGCAGTTTTTTTCTTCTTTTTTGCTTTGAGCAACCCCAACCTTTAAAAATGGCTTCCCGGCTCAGTGCTCCATCCAGGAGCAGCTGGAGGGGAGGCTGTGAAGGAGGCTTGTGCTAGCCAGCCTGTGAGGGGGCAGGGCTGAGCAGGGTCCCCAGCCCCAGTGTCCTGGTGCAGACCTGGGGAGCGGTGGGGAAGACGCACCTTCACCTGCAGCCTATGTGGGCACAGGCAAGGGAAGGAGCGCGAGGCGGGGGTTCCACTGGCGTCCTGGTCCGGAGGACCACAGGGTCACCTGGGCCTATGCCCTGGGTCTGTCTTCGTGCGAGTCTGGCTGTGGGTCTGTCCCTCCCCTGCCCATACCCCTCTTCTCCCCCAGACCTGCATTTCTGAGGCTCTAGAGGGAGCCAAGTTAGACCTGGAAAATCCATGCTTCTCTGCTCACTGGGAGCCAGGACAGCTGTGGCCTCTTGCTGAGCTGGTGACCACTCTCCCTGGTCCTCAGGGGTTCATGGGAGATTCCAGGGACGAAGCTTCTGGAGCTCCTACTGGCGTATCCCACCCAGTCTCAGGGGATCATCCTGGGTCCTTCAGATGAGACATAGAGAGGAGAGAGGGGCATTAAGGGAGACAGAGCCAGGCCTAGACCCCTGTGCTCCTCCCACACGTGGACCCCGGGTTTTCCTGCCAGGAGCGCTCTCCAGGAAGTTCTGGGACAAGCTCCTGGGGGTGGGGGCAGGGGGCTCATGACTCAAGAAGTGCAGGAGGGAATTTATACATTCTGACCCAAGCAGCAGGTATGGTCGTCTGTAACACTGTTCCTTGTTCAAAACATAGATAAAGGAAGACTTTACAAAACAATTTATATTTAAAATATAAAGCCAAACTGTCTCTAAAAAGAATGACCTAAGATCAGAGAGGAAAAGCTCTAAGGTTCAATTTAGCCTTTATCTTTGCTTACCAGCAAGCTAGAAATTATTTTTTTGTATTTTGAAATGGTCGGGAGAAAAAAAATCTAAAGATTATTTCTTGACACAAGAAAAATCACATGAAATTCAACTTTAGTGTCCATAAATCAAGTTTTACTGGGACGCAGCATGGGTGAGCATAGAGATGGCTCCTCTGGGGCCCAGATGTCAGGGGACACCACCACAGTTCCTGCCCGTGGGACCTTGATCCTCTGAGACTCCTGCAGGGCAGCCCCTGCGGCTTCTCTCTTGGGGATGAAGCCGCTGGCTGCTCCCAGCCACTCCCTCCCTAGGTCTTCTGATATCTTGTGTCGGCCAGGGGTGACACTCTGGGTTCTGCCAGGGGTGACACTCTGGGTTCTGGGCATTCCCCTGCCTGGCTCTGCTGTTTACATAGCAGGTAAGCAGGACAGATGCTGGTCAAGGCAAAGCCAGTCCCCTTCATTTCATTGAATGGTTTGGACCCTAGAATAAGATGAATCTGGTGTATCCTTGTAACCTTTCTGCTATCAACACATGTTTGTATTGCCCCAAGTTCATAGGATAAACCCTGATGTCCAGTAGATGGTATTAGGAGGTAGGGATTTGGGGGGGTGATTAAATCATGGCGTAGAAGCTACGTTAATAGGACTAATGTCCTCAATGAAAGAACTCAAGACACTCTTGTTGTTTTGGCCCTGTGTGGACACACAGGAAGACGCTATCCGTGAGCCAAGAGGGGCCCTCACCAGACACTGAACCTGCCTTGATTTGGACGTCCAGATTCTAGAACTGAGAGGACTAAAGTCCTGCTGTTTACACCCCCTTGCACGGTGTTCTGTTCTAGCAGCCTGAACCCCCTAATACAACTCTATGCAAACTGCCTAAAGCAGAACCAGCCAGTGGCCACCATTCTAGACCCATGGGGGCCTGGAGGGAGCTGGAAGAAGGGCCATGCAAGTGACCCCACCTGCATTCCCAGCCCCCTGAAACTGGGGAGTTAAGAGCAGAATCCTAGAGGGTGAACAGAGGGGCAGTCAGCTGGCAGAAACAAAGCAGAACCAAGAGTTCTGTTTCTTCCAGGCTCAGTGATTTTAGAAAGTAGGTTTGTTTTCAGATCAGTTGGCGCCATGGGTATTTAACACACCTAACGCACATACCTAACCCAGATACTTTGTTTTTGGGTTCAGCAACAATGAAATAGCCCTGGATGGGGTTCAGTTGTGCATGTCTGCAGGCTGACATGCAATGCAGGTACACCCTCTATTTCTGGGAGCTCCGTGGTCCTGGGTAGCAGCAGGACCCAAACACTGGCTTTTGGGGTGTAGAGTGGCTATGTAATGTGCCCCATTTCTGAGGTTACTTCCCCAGGAATTCAGGAATGAGAGTCACCCCCAGGTCTCCTGGCTTTCCCCATGTGTTAGTCTCTGTGGACCTGAGGCCAGAATCACGTGGAGAAATCCAGTTCCCCGCTCAGCCTATTATAGATTCCAGGCAGCCAAACCTCCGTGCTAAGTGTGCTTTGGTGAGGCTGCTGGGTGGTTCTTCCCACTGTCCATCTGCAGAATGAAGGCATGTGGGAGGGCAGGGGAGCCAGCGTGGAGCAGGGGACCCAACAATGGCAGGTGCAGAAAGTTTCGGAAAGTTACCCATTGCTTTGGGGTCTCTGTGGGCACCCAGTGACTACCTACCTTTTGCCCCTGCCCCCACCTTGTTCCAAATTGCTCTCTCTCATTGTTCCAGATTGTTAGGCCTCTGGAAACCTTATTTATATCTTCAAAACTATTGTCAAGTGAAGCCTGGACTGGGGAGAAGAGGGAAGACCAACGAAGCAGCTGTGTTTTCCAGGGAGGGTAAAAGGAAACCTGGGTCCCCCAACCCCTCAAGTCACATGAAGGCTGGGTCAGGGAGAACTCAGCCTGTCTAGGGTCTTTTGCTCTGCTGGGAAGAAGAAAATGGACTGATGCCACCTGTGTGGGTTGTGGTCAGGTCTGTGTCAAGGGCAACAACCTGGAACAGGTGTTGCTCAGCGGGAAAGGAGAGTTTTCACCAGCTGTGGGATAGGAAGCTGGTCTGGGAGACCAGGGTGAGGCATCAATGAGGCCCTTCCTATGCTGTGCCCCTGAAACCTGGCTAACAAAAGGGCCCGCATTGGCATAGCTGCCTTGAAGCTGACCCTTCTTCCACCTGTCTGCTGACGACTCAGGTGCTGATGGCTGAGCTGAAGTCGTTGATTCCTCTGACTCACTGCCTGTGTATGGTAGGGTCCCTTAGAGAAGGATCTGGATCCCCACACTACCCCTATTCCCTCAGTCTCCCAGCTTTTGGATCATTCTCCTTCCTGGAGCGCTGCCTATCCCACCTGCTTGTCTATACTCCTGAATCACTTTCCAGGACCCTCATCCTGACCTTTCAGCAGGGTCCTGGGAGCTGGTCTTCTGAGTCTCCCAGAGCACTGTTCTCTCCCTGGTAGAGCAGAGCCTTTCTTTCAGCCTTTGAGCAGGGTGGAGACAAGGAGCAGAGCTGGCTTTCTGGGATATTTAAGCTGTTTTCTCTATGGGCCAAATGCAGTGATTTCCCTGGACTGAGAAATCAATCCTTCTTTTCAAATTCTGTTGCAAAGCCAGAGGCTGGAGGCAGATCTGAGCCATGATTACATACCCCAAGAGACAGGCATGCAGTGGAGCGAGCAGAGAGAATGGGGCTTCAGCCTTCACTACACTGCCTGGAAGGGGGAGGATAGGTTCACACCAAACGAGAATTGATTTTGCTGGCCTTCTGATAAAGAGAGCAGGGCCTGATGGAGGAAATTCCCATTGATGACTGCAGGGCACAGAAAGAGAAAAAAGTGCAAAGTTTCTGAGGCCTGGAGGAGACACACCTTCCTGACCCCAGGGGACAAAAGCCAAGCCCTGGGCTGCCTGGATATGTGGGCTCCAGACTGTTCTTGCCATAGGACTTGACAGGCAGGAACAGCAGAGTGAGAAACAACCTTCATGGAGATCATGCGGGCCCCACACCCCCACCCCAGGCCACACCCCACCCCTCAGATGCATTCTGCAGGGCACTGTCCAGTCCATCACATGGTGATGATGCAGAGGTGTGATGGAGACATCTGTCACCCAGAAAGCACAACTTCCCTTTCTGCAAAGACACAGGCATTCTGGGACGCAGCCAAGATCCGCCTATAAAATCCTGAATAATGACCTCAACGCACACTTGCCAATACAAAGAATATTCTGGGCAGCTGTTTCCAGGATTTATCTGTGTGCAGTAATCTCACACCCACGGGGATCATGGAGCTCAGAGTCTGATGCCCCTAGTCAGGGCTCTTCCTGATGAGCCTCACGTGCTGGGCACAAGGCCTGGTCCCTCTGTGGGAGAAGCTGAGCGCTGGGCTCCCTGGCTGCACCGTTTGCAGGGTACACATCACCACAGGGGCCTGGGAGACACCTCTGCTCTCATGACCTCCAGGGCCAGGGAGGGAGGAGTTCTACTCTGTCCTGTAAATGTTTCTATGGCAACATTAAGTGTGGCAGATTTTTGTCTGGGTTGAACCGTGGCCCTCACTCTGGGGGTCCCCAAGGAGAGATTTCCTTGAGCCTCTTCCCTGGTGTGTGTGTGTATGGGGGGGTGCCTTGAATTAAAGTCAGAGCCTGCAGCCTGCAGACAGAGCCTGCCGCGTACAGGACAGAGGCTGCAAAGAACGGTCCTTGGTGCTCTGCAAGGCTCACCTGGGCTTGCACCTGAGCTCCAAAGATGTGGACTTGCAGGGCTTGCAGAGGTGGAGAGGGAGTTCTCAACATAGTTGCATTGTCTGAAGCTTGTTCTGAGGCCAGGGCATTTTGGACCATCAGAGCAAACTTGAAGAGGCAAAGGTAATGTTTCCTCGGCACAGCTGTGCCCCTGGGGGATCTGATGTCTCCATACTATGCTGAATATCAGAATGAGGTTTTTACTCCCGACAACCAGACATCTGAGGCTCTGAATAAGATGTTGTGCTATAATTTATTCCCTCACTTGAATCTTGCATTTGCCTCTAATATCAAATCTTAATTGTCTAATATTTGCATTTTCATCTCTAATCACCAAACCTGTAGATTACATTCATACCTAAAATAATGTTTGGTGAATGCCTTTTAATTTTACACAATGCCTTCTTCTAAAATTACTTCCCCATTACCACAAAAAGAGAAAATAATGTCACTGGCAAGTTGGTGATAAAAATATTGTGCAAGTCTTGTCAATTTTGTCTTTCTACATTCAAGTTAGCAAGCATTGGTGGACATCAGAGCAATGTCCCTCATTTGGTGAGAGGATGGAGACAAATCAATTGATAACACCCTTCATTATTTCGCCTTCATCCTTCCCATACTGGATGCCTTGACCCCTAAATGACCTAACTGGCTCAAAGCGGCGTCCCTAACACTCTTTGCTTGTCTTTCTGTTTGGGTCTGAAGGCATCTCTGTTGTAAGGTCTGAGTGTTGACAAGAACGTGCCTGCAGACAGTGTCCACCTGGCGCTGGACCCACGAGGTCACACGTGCTTCTGGGAGCAGTAGCATGGGATGTCCCTGAGTGTCCATTTCAGCCTCCAACACCCCATGCCCTCTCCTCAAAAGAGGAAAGGTGAGCACTGAAAGGTGAGAGCACATCTGGTTCATTCCTTGCTCCCCTCCATCCCTAGCAGAGGGTCTAGGACACGGTAAGTACTCAGCCAATGACCATAGAGTCGAACAGACTGGGGGTGTCCTCTGACTCACCCCTGGATGAGCCCTAAGGTGTGCCAAGCAATGAAGACACAATGACACGACACAGTGGGGTCCTGCCTTCTGCAGCCCACAGCAGCCAGGGACGGGCAGGCTCAGGTCACATGGAGAATAAATCAACAAAGGGGCAGCAGGCGAGGGCTCTTGGAGAGTGAGGCCAAAGGAGAAGAGTCAGTTATTAATGTCGGGGTTGGGGAGAGGAGCTTTCAGGCAGAGGGTGTCCTGCAAGTGGCTTCTAAGAACAGAGGGGCTGCTTTGGCCAAGCAGAGATCAGCTGGGCCCCCTGACCCCTTTGGCCGGTCAGCAGGGTCTTCCCGACAGACAGAACACAGATCCTGAAACTCACTGTCCTTCCTTTAGGGGCTGCACGTTTTAGACTTGTGACTACAAGTTGCTGCCAGCATGCTACTGGTCACCAAGTACAGATGCCATGACCAGAGGTCAGCAGCCACCAGACCCTCTGGCGACTTGCACCAGAGCTCTTTCCAGGCCTGAGAAAGCAGCCAGGCCAGCTCCGCGTCTCCATACATTTCAGCACCCCAGCCTGCCCCGCCGAGGGTGGGCTCCCAGCAGCTCCGATTGGCCATGGACGCCGGTTGGCCAGCTGCTATTTTGTGTTATCAACACCAGTTTGGTTGACCAAGGGCAGTGTGGCACACATGTCGGCCACCAATTCTCACGCTCTCCATGAGCAATATTCTAAAAGCCAGGGTGCAGGACCTGCCCACTGCTTGTGAACAAGCTTCTACTCACCCCTGGATGAGGGGCTGTGGCCTCACAAATGCTCTGGATTTCCTGCTGCAAGGTGATGGTGGGGAGACTTGGGTCACGTCTGGCTCACCGGAGGGACAGATACACCGATCTGCATTCATCACACCTCCCTGGTAAGGTAAGAAGAAAGTGAGGAAATGAATATGGAACATGTAAGTGATAATTTAACAACCATGTGAGCAGTGTCCTGTTATTGAGGTGAGAGCAGACTATGCAGAAGGCAGCAGATGGAGGGAGGAGATGAAGCCAAAGGCGTTGTTGACAGAGTGTGGTGTTGACGGGGAGAGCTGACAGAAGTGTGTGGGTGTGGGAGAATGCTGCAGATGACTGGGGTGCTTCCTCCGTGTGTGTGAAGACCCTGGGGTACGACCCAGAATCCAGCACTTCTCTCCACCACCACTGCTAATGATGGTCACCACCGGATTGTAGAGGAGAGAGAAGCAGAGATGACTAGTGGGGTGCATTTACAGGCTTGGTCAGTACTTTGATGAAGAACAGTTGAACTTTGAGTAGGAAAAACAACCTGAAGTATTTGTCTTAACAGGATCATACTGATGCTGTGGGGGGAAAGGCAGGAGGAGGGGGTACAGGAACCAGGGGCCCAGAGAAGAGGTTACTGCCACAGTCCAGCCAGAGACAATGGTGACCATCATTAGCAGTGGTGGTGGAAAGAAGTGCTGGATTCTGGGTTATTATAAAAATTGTGTTAAGAGGATTTACATCAAGGATGAGCCCATGATTTGGGGGCTAGCTAGGAGCACTATTGGGGAGATCTCAGTCTTGGACACATTGGGTTGGAGACTCCCATTCGACATTTAATTGGAGAGCCAGTTGGAGCAGTCCTGAGTTCCAGGGAGGGGGCAAGCCTGGGCATGTAGAAGTGTGGGTACTAGAGCACCAAAGGTATTTGCTGGACTGGTGGGGAGCCCAGGGGTGCATGCAGAGGGGATTTAGGAGGCTGAGGGGCACGTGGAGAGAGCAGGCACTGGAAAGAGGGCTTGGGGTGCATGGAGAAAAAGAGGATGGAGCCGGTGTCTCCAGGTGCAGAGGCTGAGTGTTCCTCTGACCCAGAGGACAGTAAGAAAGGGGTGGGGCGCAGCTCCGTGGGTGTTTACTAGGCAAGGGAAGAGAGCTCACAGTGAAGTGAAAAGGAGCCTCAGAAAATTCCATGGTCCACAAAGAGAAGCAATTCCTCATTTGCAAGGAATGCTGCAAATAAATCTCTGCTCAGCAGGATTGGAAAGGGCTGCGTGTCTCCAGGGGTGACCCCAGCCACAGAGCAGCCACTCCCCACTATTCCTGGTTTGCTAAGAAATTTTACAAGGCAAAGTGTTGGAGTTTACAAAGTGGCTTTCAGCAGGTATTGGATCCTCAGAAGGTGTTCTCCTTTGCCAAGCCAATGAAGTGATCTGCTTCCAGAAAGGCCTCCCCCGAGGCCGACAGCAGTGTGCAGACACAGCCAGAACCCACCGGCGACTTCCTTCTTTCCCTTGCACTCTGAGCAATTTCTGGGACCTTCGAAATATGTTCTTCGAAATGTCTGGTGAAGCCGTCACGTAAAATGAGCCTTCTGTTTTTAGGGAAAAAAATATTAGATCATTTTTCGATGTTTCTTTGGACAATTTGTCTAGCTTCTTTCCCTAGTACTTCTGAAATCGTTTTGGGTCATTGAATTTTTCTGTAAAAATCCCGGTTTCATGTGCCTCTTCCCACGCCAGGGCCTCGAGTGGCTTGGACTTTCCTGGGGCCACTGTAACCAGCTCCCATTGCGCTCATATACCTCGCTCACTCCTATGGCCTTTATTTTGTCTCTCTTTTCTGTCCTCAATCAGATTTCACAACCAATTGGCTCTCTTATTGGGCTATTCAGAGAAATGTCTTTTGTTTTATTAGCCAACTTCACCATTGTTTTTGGCTGCTTTGATGGTGTTCTGTGCCATTCCTTCTCTTAGGCTTATTTCATTGTTCTTTCTGTCCTGCTGCACGCGGAAACCTAAGCTCTCTTATTTTTAGTCATTTCCAATTTCTAATGAATGCGTCATCAATGCTACGCTCCCTCCTCGAGCCCTTTGGGGATGTCCTACCGGTTTTAATCAGTGCTGTGCTCGCTGTGTTCATTTCTCAATAGTAGAATTTCCCTTCTGGTTACTTCACAGCCCCCAAATTACATATCAGAGTGTTTTTATTTGTGGCATTAATTTCCAGGTAGAAATATTTTGCATATTTAGTTTTTATTTTACTAAACTGCATTGTGTTGAATGAACAGACTGATGAGTATATACATGTGAGCATCTGTGTATGTGTCTGTGTGTAGAGACTCAGTGAACAGACTGTAGGCTTACCTTCATGCAGAATTTCCTAACATTTATTTATGTTCAATAGATGACCAGTTTTTGGTGTCTATTCTAATATGATAGAAAAGAATATAAAATCCTTTAAGCAATACAGAATGTACAAAATAAACTAATGTTTCATTTGCTCCTTTTTTGACTTTGTGATCTCTTTTTTTAATGATTTATTTATTTATGCATACAGAAATAGGGTACAGCCAGAGGTGCAGGGGTGGCGAGAGGACTTGCCAGAAACAGACTGGGCAGCAGAACAGGCAGATGGACAAAGTACACTGCTGAGGGGAGCAGTGGGAGAGCAGGAGAAGGCTGCTGCGCCATGTGGGTCACCTCTAGGGTGGGGATTGAACCCACAATGAAGCCGCCATGGCTCTGCTTTAGCTTTGTATTGCAGTGCTCCAACCCGCTGCGCCACCAGGGCGGGCCTGTGATATCATTTTAATTAGGTCATGGTTGGAGAATTGGAACCAGAGGACCAGAGAGGCCTGGCGAGTGATGGTGGGCGGAGGGTGAGGCCAGTAAGCTGGTTATGGTTGTTGCAGGGACGGGCCATCTTCATTCATGGCAAGCTTCCCCGCACAGCAGCCCTCTAGCTCCTCAACGCCACACAGAGGATGCTGGTCTTAGTCTCTTCTCCTAAGGAGGCATCTCTCCTAGAGAGCACGGTTGCCCTGTCAACCCCTTGCTAGCCAAGTTCCCCGCAGTGGAGACAAGGATCTTCCACGCTCTCTGGCTTTCCACACAGGGATTAAGACTCTGCACTCCCTAAGACCCACGGATGCCAGGTGAAAACTATGGCCCACTTTTGGCCTGCTGTCCAGCCAAGCCCTCCCCTCCTAGGCTGTCCCCACCCCCATCTCCCAGAATAGCCTATGCCTAGGTTGCCCAGTGGTAAACAGCCCCGAGCTTCCATGTGGGTCTTGGGTGAATAATTCTTAGCTAAATATCACATGATCTGAGCTGTGGGTGGGTCACTCTGGGACTGCCTTGTCCACACCAGTGAAGGAAAACCTACGATCCTTTGCTCCGTGAGGCCTCAGGCAGACATGGGCCACAGTTCCTAGTACGGCCTGTCCTCCTCAGCTCAGTTCTTCCTGCCTACCTTGTATCCCTCAGGCTCTGTGGCTTGTCTTGTGGTGTGGGCTGCGTGTTCTTCAGTGTGGCTGCCATGTCCCCATGCAATGTCCATGTGTGTGCAGTTTCTTTCCCTTTCTTACACACAGGTAGCCTGCCAGGTGCATGCTGCGCTACTTTGTCCAGATTTTTCTTTACCCAAAAGGGGCCCTTTTTGTTTAATGAGATGAAGGGTGGCTTAGCAGCAGGCTGGTTAGGCACTTCTCACCCCAGAGAGGCCTGGAGAGGCTATGTCCTTCTTCAAGGGCAGCTTTAACAGGACTCAGAGAACACTGAGCAGGGTTCTCAGCTGCTGGGAACCCATCAGAGGCAGGAGCTTTCTTGCCCCTCTTATTCCCAGGATGCACCATGAAGGACCCCAAGATACCATATCTCCTGAGCAGGCTGCTCTGCTTTGCCTGGGAAGCTCCTACCCCTTCCACTTCATTGGGACACTCCAATGAAGGGCCCTTTCCCCCCTTACACCTGCAGGTAGGGCTAAGTCTCCAAGGGTGAGATGGCAGAAGGGAGCTAGTCCTCCCATGAGCCTCTTCACACTGTCCACATGCCCTACCTGGTCCAGGAATAGGTCAGTCAGTCTTGCCTTGTACCCAAGTCATCCCATTTCTTTGCTCTGTTTCACACAAAACTCCTCAAAAGACCAGTCTCCACTTGGTCTCTATCACCCTCCACTTCTAAGACTGTTCTGCTAGTTTTCATCACAACTACACCAGGGCTGTCCAGTAAGACCTCCCAATATGTCCTCCCCCCCCCCCCCCATAAATCCTTCCCTGCTGGAGGCCAGTTCTCAGTCTCCCACCCATTCTCTCTTGGTCCTACTATCCCATCTCCCAACCTGGACATGACTCTAGTTACACAGACAACACACAACCCATAATCAGATCCCAATTTCCTACATCTCAGTTCTCTTGTTCACATAACCTCGGGGCTCTAGATGAACCCCAGCACAGGCCTGGAGCCCTCTTTCCTCCCTACTCCAAGGTTAACCCCATACCCTAGCTTCAGCAGGTGTCTGAGCCTGAGATATGGGGAAGCTTTACCCTACTCATCCAGGTCACCTCCTCCGACTCCTAACTGGTTTCCCTTCTTTTGCCTTCATCGACCCATAGTCTGGTCATCTCCAGTCCAGGCAAGGCATACCTGTCCCATTCTCACCTTCTTGGGACTTTCTCCGACCAATTACAATAATCTGGCAAATGCTGCACCACCCTATTTTTATTCACAATTCCACTCACCACCTGCCATAATTTGTGTTGGCTCGTTGAAGCTGTAGCCTTTTGTAATGGGGCATTCTTTCTTGTATGTCCAGCCTGGCCCGCCTGACCTTGGCCCAGGGACAAAAAGGCAGAGACTTAAGGGAGCGTCCGGCTCTATACTATGTGTCTGTGTGTGTGTGTCTCTTTTCTGCATATGTGTGCATGAGTTGTATGTCTCAGCACGTATGTGTATATATGTGCCGTTGTACTTATGTGTCTGTGTGGACATCTGTGTTTATGCATATATGTATGCTGTATGCATGTGGGTGTCTGTAAGTTTGCTGTTTGTGATTTTCATAGATGAATTTATTGAATCAAGTCAAATCACTCCTTGGAGCAAAGAATAAAGGAACCAGGCAAAAAGATCGGGTCAAGGACTTTTATACTCTTCCTACACTGTTTTTGAAGACTCCTTCCACATGTGTCACCTTAGCTTCCTGCCTCAAGTTGGATGATGACTTGTGACCCTTCTTTGCAGTCCAGATCTATAGACTCCTAGGCAGACCCATGAGTAAGCTACATCTGAGCTCCATGCAGTGGAGCATGTAAATTCAGGGAGACAAACCACATTTGAGAGCAGAAGATGGGTTTTTCAGGGCTTCCTTGCTGGCCTAGGGGTTAAGTCTCAGTGCTACCACTGCACGGTCCTTCCCAGGGCCAGGGAGTTAACCTGTCAGGCGGCCAGGGGAGTTAGCCTATCACACAGCACAGCAGACCTCTCCTGTTTCGCCTGCTGCTCCCCTCAGCAGTGTATTCCAGGGGATCTGCCAGTTCTGCTCCCCAGCCTGTCTCTGGTGAATTCTCTCATCCTTCAAATCTCTTGCCTACACTCCAGTTCTTCTATACAAAAATAAATAAAATAAAAATCTTATAATAAAGGAATAATTCTTTCAAAAAATGAAGATGGGTTTTTCAGAAGTAGAGTGTGTTTCTAGGAAAACAAATTGAGTGGTGGTGGTGGTGGGGAAGGGAGAGAATGGGGAGTGGGTGGAAGAAGTCAGGTAGGAGGAGTGGGTGAGGGCTGGTGGAGGGAGGAAGACAAAGGAGGGGGAGGGAGGGGAGCTCCAGCTAGAGGTCAAACCTGCTTTCACCCTCAGGTCCCTCCACTCCAGCACAATCAGCACCACTTTACTCATTTAAAAAAGTTTCAGAAATACCTCTTTCACTGACCAACTGCTGGGGACACTTCCTTCACGCTACAAGTAGCTTGGAGCTGCCTATTACAAATCACACTTGTGTCAGGCACGGAGACAGAAGGGTGAGCCTAGGGGACACAGTAGGCTGGCTCAGAGCAGAGGGAGGATTCTTCATCTAGCTGCCTAGGAATGTACACTGCCTTGAGGGCGCGGAGACTGTCTGCTGGAGTGAGGTTTGTGGCCCTGTTCCTTGGCTAGGTTCACCGACCTTCCTAAGCATGGTTTTAGGCTCACATTCACATTAACGCTCCCTATCGGGGACGGGAGCCCAGAAGCTGTATGGGCGCAGAAGAGACCAGTGATTGAATTCTCTCCCTGGATGTGGGTGACTGATGGTGCGCCTGTGGCTGGGCAAATGCAGCGGGTGCGCGCACTGCCCGCCCAAATCCAGCGAGCTGCCAACTGCTCTTTACTCGGTACCTCTCAGTGCCAAGCGAATCTCAGCTCCAGGAGCGCCACAGGGTTAAGGCACAGGCGTGGTCCCCTTGGGTTGGGATGGTGTACCCCAGCCGGGTACGGCAGCCTCGCCGCTGTTCTGGCGTCCCTCCGGATTTGGGTCAAAGACTGCGCTCCTCTAGTCTTCTTTTCTGAGCTCCCCACCACCACCACCGCCATCTCTCCTCCCCTCGTCCGCTTTGGGCCGCCCCAGGCGGGGGCGTGGGGCACAAGGTCGTCGCCCCGCGGGGAGCTCATCCGGCGGCGCACGCCCAGCAGCTCCGGGGAGGGACTTGGCCAGGGTTCTGGCCCGCACTCATCTAGGGAGGAGCCGAAAGACTGCAGCTGGCGGCGACCGGCCTAGGGAGGGCGGGTGGAGGTCCTGGCGCAACGGCCGGCCCGCAGAGCCCACCTCAACTTTACCCTGCAGCAGCGCCGCGCCCCTCTTCCCGAAGCTGGAGCCCGGGGCGCGGGACCCGCACCCTCCCACCTTTCTTTCTGGGGCCTCTCCATCTTCTCTCGGCAAGCCACGGGAAGAAGGCGCCCTCTCCTTAGCGGGCCGGGAGCTGCAGAGGCATCGCTGGGCGCGGCCGAGGGGAGGAGAAAGGAGAAAGGGAGCGGAGTCGGCCGGGACCCGGCGGTGACTCGCGGGGCTGCCGCTCCACCAATCTGCTGGCGCTGACGCGGGGGGCGGCTCCGCCGCGCTCGGATATCTCCCCGCCTGGGGCGCGGGGTGCCGAAAGCCTCGGCCGTGAGGGTGCTGAGCTCCGTACCCTGCCGCTGCACCTGCCCGGGGACCTCGCCTGCCGCTCCGTGCGTCCCCCTCCGCCCTCTCGGTCTCCACGGCCCCGCGCCCTCATTCCCCCTCCCGGTCCCCGCCTCCCAGCAGCAGTGTGAGTGCCACCAAGCCTTGCCCGAAGGAGCCGCCCCTTCTCTGCCTGCCGGCCAGGCGCCTCCCGCGGCCCACGGAGCCGCGGAGGGTACTGCGCGGCGGATCGGATTGCGCTGTGCCGTCGCCACCTCCACCCCCGGCCGCCGCGCCCTGGCTGAGATGGGCCGCAGCATAGGGGCCCTGTGTGCCGGATGATCTCGGCCGCGGCCCGGGAGACCCGAGCCGGCAGCTGCGCGCGCGGGGCTTCATCCGGGTGCGCTCCCAACCACCTGGCTAGCTGCTCCCCGCGCCCCCAGCTCCGCGGACGAGGACCGCTGGGGTAGCGGCTGAGGGCGCGGCCGCTCCGGAGAGGCCGAGAGGGAGCGGCTCCGAGATGGCCCAGAGAACAGGCTCTTTGGCGGTGGGTGCCCTACACGCGGTCGGGACCCTGGTACAGCGCCGGAGCTGGTAGCTTTCTGAGCCACATGGACCTTGACCCGTGCCGCGGCACCGCGTTTGTGCCAAGCCGAGACTAGAGGGGCACCGACAGGGCGCGCTCCGGGAGGGCACCGGAGTTTCAGGCCGCGCTCGCCATGAAGATGATCCTGGTGCGGAGGTTCCGTGTGCTCATCCTGATGGTGTTCCTCGTGGCCTGCGCGCTGCACATCGTGCTGGACCTGCTGCCCAAGCTGGAGAGGCGCTCCGCGCGGCCCTCCGGGGAGCCAGGCTGCTCCTGCGCGCAGCCCGCTGCCGAAGCGGTGGCACCAGGTTGGGTCAAGGCTAGGGGCCGCCCGGGGGAGCCTCCGGCCGCAGCTTCCGCCACGGGCGACGCGGGCTGGCCCAATAAACACACGCTGCGCATCCTTCAGGACTTCAGCTCTGACCCGTCCTCCAACCTCACGTCACACTCTCTGGAGAAATTGCCGCCAGCGGCGGAACCGGCCGAAGGCACCTTGCGAGGGCAGGATCCTGTCACTCCCCGACCCCGAGACTTGGCGCACCGGCCGCTGCTTAGAGATCCTGGTCCCCGTCGTTCCGTGCTGCCTCCTGGTTCTAGTGGGGACGGTTCCCTCCTGGCCAGACTGTTCGAACACCCACTCTACCAGCTGGCTATTCCACAGATAACTGAGGCTGACGTCCTTTTCAATGTGAACACTGATATAAGATTCAACCCCAAGGCTGCAGGGGAGAATCCAGACTGGTGAGTAGGGACTGGAGGGCATTATACCCCTAAGCCAACCGCGCACACTTTGAGAATAAAGATCAACCTCTGCACTGATGCCCCTGAAAAAGCCCTTGAGCATACAAGGCTTTGTGTAAAGAGGTACAAGCTCGGAGACAACCCCTCCCACCCCCCACCCCACCCCCCAAGCCTGGCTGGGGTGGGTGCCACCTTTTGCTCCAGGCACTTTGTCTTACCAGACTGCCTCCTTGAGAAGGGCTCCTGGGTGGTTTGGGGGCTGTTCACCGTGGCCAATGGTCTGAAAGTCAATGCACATCCCTGCTGGGGGAGAGCCCTGCACTGCATGTACAGGAAGGCAGTGACCCTCTCCCCTCCTCTAAGCCCTGGTTACCGAGAATGGAGTCAGGCAATGAATGGCAGAGCTGTGAGTGGGTACATGAGCCAGCCCCTAACCTTCCCTGGACAGCTGCTGGCTTTCAGATACTTTGGTGATGTTGCTCTGGTAGACATTTCAGGAGGGACTGGAGACACCTAATGAGACTTGTAAATCAGTTGCTGAGACAAAATTAGCAGAGGGGTGTGTGTGTGCTGGCCCTGGTGAGGCATATAGCAAAGCAGTGTTCCCGGCTAGGATACAGAGAATGGCCTGCCTGGAACAGTGCTGGCTGCAAAGGGAGACTGTTTCATAAAGGCGAGAAGCATCTCCCAGGAGCATCTCTGTAAACTCTCCTGGGTTAGCACCCTCTCTGTCCCCAGGCCCTCCTCAGCCATATATCAAGATAAGCGGATGCTGCAACCCAGAGCAGTGAAATATTAACTAGCAGCATGGCCAGAATAAATAACTACCTGCAAAAGGTTACCCAAGCAACAGAAGGGAAAGATCAGGCTTCCAAAACATCGTATAAAAATCCTTTCTCCCCTGAAATTCGACCAGACCAGTGTTTTCTGTCCAAACACACCAAAGTGTTTGGTGGCCTCTGAGCATTGTCTGCTGGCCAGGTTAGAGGAAATGCTAAGAAACTTGAGTATTAGAGCCATGTCTGGGGCCTGAGGCTTCACAGGAGAGACAGCCCACACCCAGTGGTCACCTGTAGCCCTGGGTAGCTCCTGGCCCACTCTCCTCATAGGACAACTTGGGTCACAAGGACCTCACTTGCAGGGGAATTAGAGCTGAGACATGTGCTACTTTTCCCTCTAGCCCAGCAAGCAGGCAGGGTCTGTCTTCCCCAGCTAAAGATGTGGATTTGGGCCATGTGGCCAAGGATGTGAGTTCAGGCCACGTGGGCGGCGGGTCCTCAATTTGGACCTCAGCTGGAGAGAGCGCCTTTCTCTTTCCTCTCTCCCCACCCAATACAGCTCTCATTAAAATCAAATTTAGCCTCTTGCATCATCTCTACCCCTGGTTGCTGGAACAAAAGCAGAGCGCTCAGGCAAGGTTTCTGACAGACTGGGCGTGTCTGGGATTTGCAGTCTGTGGTCAAAGGTGGGTTTGCCTGTCTGCCCCAGGGGAAGCCGCCAGTCCCTCATACCCCATGCTGACATCACACTTGTCGGGCTGTTTTGGTGACCCAGGACAGACACGGTGGGGGCCTAGTGCTGAGCTCTGGGTTTGGTCTTGCTTTAGTTATAGTTTTCTCTGGGTCTCCTGCGTGAAAGTAAGAATTAAGGGTCTTTAGATATGTTATTAGTTGAAGAACAACAGCCACTGAAAAAGTGCAGGCATTGCAGGTCCTGTTTGAGCAAAGGCAGCTTTCAGAAAAGCTGCATTTGTTTGACTCCAGAGTTAAAACCTTGTTGGCTTCCTTGCCACACTTACTCACATACCACTCTGTGCCCCCTTCTGTCACTGCCACTGCGGCTGTCCTGTTGACTCTGGGCCACCTTATTTCCATAGGCCACATGACGGTACTGAGGATGAAGGGTTCCTTCCCACGGGGGAGGCGGCTGTGGACTCCTATCCCAACTGGCTCAAATTCCACATCGGTATTAACCGGTATGAGCTGTACTCTAGACACAACCCCGCCATCCAAGCCCTGCTGCGGGACCTCGGTGCTCAGAAGATAACCAGTGTCGGTAGGTGTCCAGGTGGTGCGGGTGGGGGGGGGCGAGGGAGGGGGGGGTTGGGGGGTCAGGTTGCTGCTGGGCCCTCTTTGCATCACCCCCTCTGAGGCGATCAGGCTTCGGGGTCTGAGGAAGCCTGAGGCCGTGGGGAGATGCCCCAGTGCAGTTAGCAGCCCACCTTAGGGAAAGAAGCCCAAGGAGAGTGTTTTCTGGACCACAGGGCATCCCCAAGGGTAGGGAAGGGGCACCCCTGGTGACTGCAGCCTCTCCCTCAGCCATATCCATGCAACAGGGGTTCCATGTGTGGAAATGCACCCCGCGTGTCACTGACTGGAAGGGAAACACAGTGAGAGCTGTGACTTCCTGTGGCTTTGGGTTAGCTCAGTTCCAGGGCCCAGCCAGGCCTCCTGTGGACAGGGAGTGGCCAGAGCTTGGCTCTGTCCAGGGTGAAAGCCATGCACTTAGTATTCAGAGGCAACAACTCTGAGTGCTTTGGGATCTGCTGAATTGGAGGAAAAAAGGGCACCCAATTACTGACTTCAGGAAAATGTGTCAGCAGCAGTTTCTTAGCGCAGAGGTTTGGTACCATTGTTCTTGGGCCTGTAGGCGATTGTTTGTGAAGGTCCCATTAGTCACCAGCAGCTCAGAGAGGCAGGCAGTGGGGGAGGGGCTGCAGCCTGGGGCTTTGCAGGGAGCTAGCTGGCTGGGAGCACACAGCCTCTGAAGGTGGAGGGTCCAGAGAACAGGAGAACTGCTTTAGGGGGCAGTTCCAGGTTTTGTCTTCTTGGGTGTCTCTTGAACATCCACAGTGCTGAATGAGTCCCAGTCCTGGGGTTCTGTCCGGTGTCTGACACAAGTGTTCACTGTGAGGACACAATGAGTTACCCAGAGTTCTTCAGAGGCTATTTCTGACTCTGCCAGTACTGGTGTTTACCAAGCACTTGCCATGTGTGGAAACCCCGCGTGTCACTGTCCCACCTGCTGACAGAGAACCTGCCAGAACAAGCTGAGGTTCTCTCTTTCCTTGTTTGCTGCCTGCAAGGAATCTGAACATCACCTTGGCCTCAGCCCCAGCCCTTCCAGTGAGAAGCTCAGCACCCTCCACTGTCTCTTGAGGGGTCTTTGAGTGTGTGGGGAGTGGGGGATTGTCTTGCAGACAGCCACTGCTTGGGTATCCATTTCTCTTGAGTATAGACAGCCAGTGCATCAACCAATTTGTTCACCTACTCAGCAGCTTTTCTAAATATCCTTCTGCATTCAGGTCCCCTTTCTGGGTTGTGGTGAGCTGAGGATGAGTCCAATCTTGTTGAGATTCTGCTGCTTCTGACCTTTATTGCGGGTGGATAGGAAATGTACAACCACAATGATGAGAACTAGATGCTCTCAATGCAGTACAGGCAAAGTCCAAGGGTGTTTGGGGAGATGATCTCCATCTGAAGAGGAGGGGCATGGAGAACCTTTTAAGAAAGGGTGTTGGACCTGGATCTTAAATGATCTATAGACTTTCACCCAAGAAGTTGGGGGCAGGGAAAGTGGGGTTTCCTGAGAAAAATGAGGATAGAATTTTAAAATTAGAGAGGCTTTTAGGGAAATGAAATGTTCTATGACGATGCCCTGCTCTGCCACTGTCTGTGGATGCTTCTCTTGGCTTCAATTTTCCCATCTGTCAAATGGGCACAAGCATGCTCAGGAACATCGCAGGGATAGAATAAGATGATCAAAGATGGTGAACTTGTAAAATTCTTATGAGTGCTTTTTGCGGTAGTCTTCTCTGCAGCGCAGGTCAGGTCTGGGTGGAGGGAGGGCTGCAGGGGCCCATGGGTTCATCCAATGCAGGTAGCCTCCAACCCCCGCCTCCAAGCCCACTGATCCGCAGTGCAGAGAAGGGATCAGGAGTAACTGCAGGCACAGGCTGGGGTTCATGTTCCCAGGCAGCACTACACATTGGGATCCTTTCCTTCCCTACCCCCAGGGCCTGAGGGCCCGCCACCCCCTTTGCCTGACTCCCCCAGGAAGTGGTGTTCATGTTGCCTGGCTCAGGATGCAGTGGACAGAGCTCTCTGCAGAGTTCTGGCTGGATCTGTGCCCAGTGGTGACCTGGGCTGAGTCCCTGCCATCTGTCATTGTGTTGTCTGAGTAGGTCTCACTCACCCCCTGGACTGCTCTGGCTTTGCTGGTCATCAACCATCTGCCCTTCGGAGCAGCACTCCTCAGAGGAGAGGCTGATCACAGTCCTTCTGCAGGTGTCTGGTTGGTGCTGGAAGGTTAGTGAATGGGACCGAGTCCATCTCCCAGGGCAGAAGAGCCACTGAGGTTGAAACCTGTTCTACTAGTCAAAGTGATTTGTGGAACTGACTTAACTGTCTAGCGCTTGGGATAGGATATGGAGCATACAGATGGTTATACAGATGGAATAAAGAGCACACATATAATCTCTGGTTTGCAAACTGAAACCCAAACATAATTTTGCAATAGCAAAATCTGATTCAACCTGAACATATCTGGGGGCAACACCTAAATTTTGGAGGCTGTTTATAAGTCCTTACTTCTCTTACTGGCAGTTCCTCTGAGGACAAGGGAGTGTGTATTATGGGTTCTACCTCTGACCCAGGACACTATATAATATATGATACCTTACAATGCATAACTCCCCCCATTGGAAATTGTCGGAATCCCCAAACATTTCTGCCCCTTAAGATTTTGAAGGGTCTGGGCCTGTGAAACAGGGCTGTTGAGTGGCTTCTATGGGCACCTACGAGGAGAGAGGCAGCAGACACAGCGCAGTATCCCTAAGACTCTTGGGGCAGGTGAGGGTCTCCCGGCCCAGGACAGCGATTGCTGGCTGCCTGGTGAAGGACCTCTGGGGACCTGGGCCTCACGGTCCCTGCTATCTTGGCCTGAACACTCACAGTGAGTCCACATTTATGAAAGGCCCCTTTCCTGGGCCAGCAAGAAATCCTTCCACCTGTGAGCAGAGAGAACTCTGCTGCCGGCATCCAGTCTTGTCTCCTGGTCTGCAGGGAGCCCAGGCTGGCAGCAGGCTCTGGAGAGGATATGTACATTCCAGGAGGTGTCTGTTTCTACATCTAGTTGTATATTTTGGTTGAAAATCCTTCTGCTGAGATGGCAGAGCTGGCTGGGCCCCAGCTTAGCAGAGCCAGGGGTGGGTTTGGACATGGAGGGCTTTAGGTAGAGCTGTTTGCCTGGTGTTCCTGCCCCAGCATATCTGAGACCCAGAGCAGGCTGCAGCTTTCCAAGACCCCAGATAGGAAAACAGGATCCCAGAGTGGCCTGAGGGTTCAAAGCTTGGCAATGCCTCTTTCTGAACATGAATGGAAGAAAAAGCCAACATCACAGTGACCATGGTGGTGTTGTAGAAGAGTCTAAATAGAAACAGCCAGAATCCAAAAGCCAACCCTACTTTCCAACTGTCAGTCTACAGGGGGGACATTGAGGCCTCAAGAGGAGAATCAGTCCAGGGTTGGCACATCCACACTCTGGCTCAGGGTTCTATTCTCTCAGCCGTCCAGCCCCCTGGGTGGTCACTTTAATCTTCCAGTTGTTCATCTCACCATTAAATGTGAGCCCGGAAACACTGCTGTAATAGAGAGCTTTTCCTGCAGGTTCCTGAAGCTTTCTCTCGGAATGGTTCCATTAAATCTCCCGTGTTCAGAACCACTTGATCCAATTCATGAGACACGTGTGTGTGGCCTGCAGTACACCCGCTGCGGCCAACACAGATTTATTTATAGCCTGGCTCCTGGCTGCTTGGTAACCTGCCGTTTGCCGCCTTTAAAGAGACTCGGATATTATCTACCTCTGTTCAGCTTGAAATCAGGCGTGCGGCGCCCTTGGCTTGGGCTGGTGATAATTAAATCCCTATCATGCACAATTATGGATGCAAAGAATAAATGACACAATTAACTACTCTGTATTTGGAATTACTTAAAAAGGAGAAGTCACACCGGCGTGAGAGATTGGGGCAGCCTCTGGCCTGAGTACAGACTTCACAGTTGCTCTCTCCAGATCAGGACAAAGCCTGAGGTTGGTGCCTGAACAAAGGAAAACGACTCCCTGGACAAAAGTCTTGGTGCTAATTGATCTAGTCAGGATCTGGGACTAATTGGCAGTGGGCTTCCAGGAACAAAGGGCCTGCGGCTGCATCATCCATGGGAGGCAGCTGCCCCTGGGTGCCTGCGGCTGGCTCGGCTGCCCTGCCTAATTAGTGGAAGGCAGGCTCCTTGGGATGGCAGTTTCTGCCTGAGAAAGGCCAGGTTCTCCCTCTCGTCCCCAGGGTTCAGTCTCTAGGGCCTGGCATAGCCAACCTAGACAAAGAATTAACTGGATGTCCAAAGCTTTTGTCCTAGAGGGGTCTTAGGTCACCTTGGAAGGAGGACAGAGACCGCCCAAAGGACAATTGAGGCAACCCAAGAAGGCTGTACATGGCCGCTCTGTGACCAAGAGCTTTCCACCTGGGGGAAGGTCAAGTGTAAAGCCTTGCAGACGTTGACCCAGCTTCACCCTAGGATCTGCTTTCTCCATTTTGAATAGACAGCAGCTGAGAATCCACAGGCTGTGTCCAGTGTATCCTAACCCAGAAAGGGCCCTGATTTCCTCCCCTGTGGGGTTGTGGCTTCCAGTTGGTAAATTCAACTTTCACAGTAAGATTGAGCTGTCTTAAAGAACAGCACGTTGTAAATAGCAGTCCAGGCTGGAGGCAGCTATGGTGCAGACAGCCCAGCGTGGTGTGTGATGGACTGAAGTTTGGACAGTGCTGATGTGGCCACACCCATGTGGCCCAGTCCTCCAACAGTCCTGCATGCAGTCGGGCTGGGAATGCCCTGGCCTAGAGCGCAGGTGTCAGTCCTGGCTCAGTCGTTTGCAGCTCTCCATGCTGGAGCAGATGGCCACGGTTCTGGTCCCTTGATGTCCCCCAGGACACTATGAGGAGACTCACATGGGCTCCCAGGAGCCTGGAACAATGACAGACCTTTCCCCGGGGGCTGGAGGATTGCATTCTTCTCATTTGAGCTATCCTGGGAGAGGCGCTTGCCTCCTCTGGGAGAGGAGGGTTCAGTGACCCTTAATCACTGGACCTTGATCACAGCAGTGGCTATGAAAACAATGGGGCTGCCTGCCTGGCTGCGACCCTAAAGACAGATGGCAATCCTGCCTCACAAACGAGATGACCGAGGTCAAGGTGGCAAAGCCAGAGGCCCCACTGTGGCCTGGAAGCCCCTCACATTCAGACACGACTTCTCTAAACAAAAGAATTTGTTCACAGAAATGTCCCCTCAAATATGGATCAGGGTTCTTGCTGGAAAGGGAGCCTGGAGATGCCAGCCCTGGGGCCCCAGGAAATAAAGAGCACGTGCTGGCTATACGCACCATGTCGGGAGTGGGGGGCACAGGCTGGTCAGTGCAGGCCAGGGTCTGCGTCTCCTGCTCCTCGCTGCCCCACCCGTCTCTCAGTGTGGGATGCTGGGAGCCACTCACCTTCCTTCAGGATGGTCTCTCCTCCAGCACTGCTCTTGCTTCTGGCTTAACTTGATCCTTCCTTGGGGAACTTCCTGAGAAATGTAGCATCTGCCCAGGCTCTTCTGAAAGGAGACCCCTGTAATAAGATCGACTTTGTTTTGTCCTGTGCTGGGGAAGGATGATGAGCAAAGCCCCTCCTGTCCGAGTCTCAGTGGTCCTGGGGCTCACAGGCCAAGCCTGATATAAATAAGTGCACAGCGCTCTGCTAATGAATATTAAGGTGTATAACTAATGATGCATACTATTAACAGTCTTCAGTCATGTTAATTAATATGTGTATTGGAGCAGGGCTGGGGGGAGGGGCTTTTCAGGAGGCCAGGAAAGACAGAGCTGACATCCTTGGTCCAAGACAGTGGGGGGACAGAAGGCAGGAAGGGAGGGAGTGCAGACAGTGGAGTGTGGAGGGGGCGAACCTGGACATCGGGTGGTGCCCAATGTGTGTAGATGATGTGAAGATGGTGGCCCGGCATTGGGCAGGGTTTTGGAGATGGACAGGAGGAGGCAGGTGGGAGGGGCACCCTGGGGAGAGAGAGGGATGCACCATCAGGTGTGTGCTGGGACAGCGTGGCCTCAGCTGTCTTCGTGGCCATAATGGGTTTGCTGCTCACCTGGTTCCCTCTCCAGGGCTGAGGGTGGGTGGCTTTGGACTGACCTCTGTCCTCTGACAAACACATGGACCTGACCAGTGAGGCATATGCCTTGGTCCTTGTGTGAGTCTGGGTGCGGGGCCCTTCCCTGCACACCTGGGCTCTCTGCTCCACGACACCTGTCTCCCCTTGTCAGGCAAGGTGGCTAGAGCTAGAACCCTTGTCTGCCTTCAAGAAGAAACCCTAAACTCTCTGTGCCCCGGCCTGCCAGGGTGGCCACGCAGCCCCAGCCACCTCCCAATGCCCATTTCCTTAGTAGCAGAATGCAGAATCCTGGGTCTGCCTCTTTTCCACATGGCCTTTTACAGGGAGGCTAGACTGATTTTAGTGCAGAATTCCAAATGTCCTTCAAGAGCACACCCAGCAGGAGGTAGAATGGTGGGCCTTGGTGGGAAGGCACGCGTGCCCAGACGAGAGACAGTGCTGGGCATTGTTAACCAGAGCCTGGTTTCTGGAGTTCTTATCCCTGGGATGGTCTGATGCCCATTAGCTTCTAATTATTTATTTGCTCCGTAGGGAGCTGGTCATTCAGCGGACACAGGGTCAGTGAAACAGCAATGCCGGTGGGACTTGCTTCCAGAACAAGAACGATTAAACTGACCAGATTTGCATAATGTTAGGTTATTAAAAAAAAAAAGGCTTACGAGCTATTGTGCTGTCCCCCACTGGCCCAGGAAGGAATAATTAGATTTAGCGACCCCATTATTAAATGGAATGGGGACATCAAATAGGGCTTAGTTGGGCCACTAGTTCTTTAATAATCACTTCTGTTTTCATCTTATTAAAAATGTGATAAATGTTGATTGTGAAATTTAGAAAGCTCGGATAAGAGGGAATAAAGAAATTAAAATCATCAGCTTCTGGGAGGTACCCTCTGAGGGAAGGTATGCACTAAATTTCCCATGTTCTGTCAAAAAAGGCAGATCAGAGAGTGTAAATGCAGTACAAGCTGCCTTCTTATTAATAAAATCATAAGCAATTTGCTGTGTTGCTAAAAATTCTTTGGTACCATCAAAGGGCTACATCTTTCCCCCAGATACTTCTGGATGTTTCTATTTTCTATATTCTCCGGTCTATCCTCATCTAAACCAGCTGCCCCAGCCTCTTCCATTGCTTTATTTATTCCCCTGGCCAAGCTCCCTCCGAGGTGGGGGCTGTCTCCACCTGGGTCCCAGCCATTTCTCCCTGCCTGAGGGACCCTCTGAGATGCTAATCCAGGGCTCCATCTACCCTTTCCACCCAATGGGCTGTGTTGACCAGGCCAGGCCTCTCCAGTGCTGCAGAAGGTGCTTCTCCCTGCTTCGCAGTCTGTTTTCTCTGGCTCCTCCAGCACATTTGGCGCTCTCCCCAATGTCACCTCCCCAGAGAGAACTTTCTGAAGGCCCCTTATGCCTGGTGACCTCTCTTGGCCACAGCCTGAACTCAGACTCTGGTGGGGACACCTTGTGCGGCCCTTGTTCATGCCTTTATCTTCAGAAGGTCACTGCCTGGTTGTGCTTCTGCGAACTCAGGACATCCCTGGCTTTGCCACACCTTACTTCTGTGTCTTAGGTGGGCTGGGGCTGACCGTGCAGATGACAGACCGGGGCAGCCCTTTCTAGCTGGGGAGCACCCACTCTCTAAGCGAACCCCCAAAGTATTTTCCCTCCTGCTCCATCAATGTAAGGGAAAGACATAGGAAAAGAGCAGATCTTTTCAGGAATTCTTTCACTCTCTGAGCTGGTGAGTCAGCTGGGAAGCCAGAGATGCTTCTGGAGGTGTCCACCCCCACAGTGTCCTTGTGGAGCTTTTGAAAGCCCCCTCTGATGAGAGAGGTGCTTTCAACCAAGTGGTCTTCAGCGTTCCCTTGGGCTACCCTGCTTTATCTTTCTCAAGAAACCTAGAAACTTAGATGGGACAGCAGTGGTGTGTGTGTGTAGGTGTCTAAGTGTGTGCAGATGCCTGTGTCTGCGGCAGCCATTACTGGCAGGTTCACACATCTGGCCATTCTTCTAGAAGTTAGTCCTTTGTGAGACCGACTGTCCCAGAGACTCTGCCTCCAGCCCCAACACTTGACTACCAGGAGAGAGTGTGTTTCAGGATATTGCAAGAATCCCCTAGTTCCCAGGGAGAATGGGGGCCTTTAGCCACACCAGTGGTTGGGAGGGGCCTGGGACCAGAGGCACTGACCTGAAGAGCTGACTTCACGCACTAGCAGAAAGAGGGGTCTGAGAGCAGCAAGTGACCCTGTTTCTCCTTCCCTCCCCCGCAGCCATGAAGTCAGGGGGCACGCAGCTCAAGCTCATCATGACGTTCCAGAATTATGGGCAAGCGCTGTTCAAACCCATGAAGTAAGTGGGGAAGGCTGCTTGGGTTGGGGTGCGAGGTGTGGAGTGGTCCTATGTGGGAACTGGCAGTGTGCAGCACTCATTCTGTGATGGAAAGTGTGGTGTTTCCTCCAAGAGGTAATTTGGGGTGAACTATGGTTTAACCACTTGGCTTCTCCACATCATAACAAAACAGGCGACATAGGGGTTCTAAACCATCATCACCTCATTTTCCTGGCTTCCTCAGACTTGCTTCTCTCTACCTCACTTCTATCGAAGATTGGAAACACTCAGGGAGTTATTTGTATTTCAGTGAAAGTGTTTTAAACAAGAATTTGGAATACTGACACCAAAGAAAGTCAATATTTTTACCCCCTCAGCACCCCTCAGGGGTTAGCATACTTTCCTGAAAGAACAGCTGGCAGATATTTTAGGTGCTGTTAAGTCACTGCCTCAGCAGCCACTCAGCTCTGCTCTCCTACCTTGGAAGCAGACTGACACATGTAAGTGAACAGTGTGGCTGTGTGCCAATAAAACTTTATTTATAAAGCTGCCCACTGGCAGGTAGGCTGGCTTCAACCCTGTTCTAGATAAAGCAGAAATGGCGTTACCTAAATAAACATCAAAACATTCAGTGGCACATGAAAAGTTGTGGGAATGGTAAAGGACATTTGCAAGCCAACTACCCCCAGGAAATTCACTTTGAGGGCCTGAAGCTTATGGTGTCCACCCTCTTAATCTGGGCACTCAGATACCTCAAGGGGTACAAGGTTGTCATCTTTTGTTGGTCCATTGGCAAGGGAGAGTTTGTTGTGTTTATAGCATGGATTGAACTCCAGGTACCCTCAAGGTCACGCAAGTCAATGAGGCTGCTGGGGTGGGTAAAGACTGTGGCAAGCTGCAGGCATGGACCACTGAGAGTCAGCCATGTCTGCTGGCCTGCCCGATCTTAGCCATCTGGCCTGATTTCTAATTTTCAAGGTAAGCTAGAAGTAAGCTAGAAATAAGGATTTCTTTCTGACTTAATCTTCACATTTAGAAACATTTCACATATTTTGCAGTCAAGCAAACTACAGCTGCTTGTTTGCAACTTGAGGTTGAAAGTCTGCTTTTGGGGGCGGGGTAGGCTCAGTTTCAGGGCTTTTCTGTTCCTCTGGGTGGATGTCCTGGCTGGACGCCACAAGGGAGGGGAGTGCTGCTCAGGGCTTCCCCAGGATCTGCTGACCTGGAGTGGGTGTGACTGATAATACCATTTACTCAGGCCTGAGGAAAAGCTGTGAACAGAGGTGAGCAGGAAACGGGGAGAAGGCAAAGACCTGGGGCTCTTTGTGGGGTAGAAGACTGAGCTGAGGTGAGGTGAAGCTGCCTGTGTCCATAGTAGGGTCTGCGAGCAGTTACCTCCTTCCTGTTTCTGTGCCTGGAGGGGAAGCTCGGCTCTCTTTACAAGTGCCCACACAGCAGAGGGAACTGTAGTGGACTTGGCCTGCCTCAGGAAGTGGACGTTGCTAACTTTGTAACTGTGAGGAGTCTGGAAGGCCAGCCTGACCAATGCAGCTCCCAACTGTCGTGATGCACGATTTGGGAGAGGTAAGGCAAGGGGCACCTACACAGCAGGAGGGTGCAAGTCCTGGGTTGGGTGCAGACTCCTCAGAATATTCTAGAGGGTGTGAGTTCTGGGGGGGCAGGAATGGGGTTTCTCAGGGAAGTTTCTGTTCTCTCAGGCAGTGCAGGCAAACAGCCCTCTGCAGGTGCCTGGTAGCAGAGAACCAGGGGACATGGACTCCGGGCGGCCCCACCCCCACATCCTTCTCCCTCCCCCCACCACAAGTAACCCCACCCCCAGCATGGTGGTCACTGTCTCCTCTGTGGGCACGAGGGCTGAGTTCAGAGGTCTGGCATCCTGCTGGTGACCCAGCCGCTGTGATGGTCAGGGTCCAGAGCCTCCTTGGAAAGCTCACTCAACTCACATTTGCCCCACCTCCCCTCTGAATTTTCAAGCAGTGGGTCAGCATGGTGACTCTCCGCATGTGGAGGCCAAGGTCATGGGCAGGCAGCCTGGGTGGGGCCTGTGGTCAGTGGGCTGAGCCGGGAGGCTGGGGCCTGGTTACAGTGAACATGGGCTCAGAGGTCCCCAGTGAGGCAGATGGGGGTTCACAAATGGCCAGCCCTCTTCTGGGTCAGGTCCAGGCCTCTCCTGAGACTGGGCCCTCCTCTACTGGTCAAGCCTTGAGTCTGGCATTGATTGTGGTGCAGTGAGAACAACTCCACTCCCCTGGTGACCTGGGGAGCTGGGCTGAGATTGAGGTGCCTGTAATGCCTTTCCCGTCCTCCAAAGCCTGTGGTCAAAATATGAAAACAGCTGTGGTTTATGACCATAGCATTACAAAATTAAAATCTGTGATTAATAACTCTCTTTAAGAAAATCCTCTCTAGGTTCATTATAGTTGTCGGGAGAATACTGTGAATTAATTGGGTGGTAGTCTTCTACCTCTGAACTCTTGAAGGATATAAGAGAAAGGATCCAGAAAAGAGACAGCAGATGGGGTGGAGCCTGGGGGTCCTGGCAAGTGTCACTGACGGGTACAAGGGTGACGTTGAGCATTTAATGGTTATAGTCAGCCACCCCACCAACACTCAGCCCGGCCGTCTGCTCTACTTGTCAGGCTTGGGAAGTTCCTGCTCCTGTCACAACTTAAATGGCTGTCATCTTAATGCTCCCCTACTGCTCAGGGTGGCCCAGGACTGGGGGCTGTTCTCAATTGGGGATCCACAGAGGTGCTCAGAAGGGAGGGGACAGACACACCGTGGAAGGACATGAGCCGTAGCAACTGCCCTGGTTGGGTCTGAGGACTGGCTACTGCTGGTGGGGGCCAAGGAAGGGGGTCTCAGGTGGCGTCAGCTGAGGCCTGAGGGTGAGTGGCAGGCCCCACTGCTCTAGGCCTGAGGGTGAGTGGCAGGCCCCACTGCTCTAGGCCTGAGGGTGAGTGGCAGGCCCCACTGCTCTAGGCCTGAGGGTGAGTGACAGGCCCCACTGCTCTAGATGGGCCTGTATGTTCTACAAGATGCTGCAACACGGTGGGCCACATCATGGCTACTACAATTGAAGGAAAATGAAAGGAATATGAAATTTAGTGGTCTCAGGGCCACATCTTGAGTGTCCGTGGCTAATCTGGCTGGTGGTTCCTCCTTGGGCCTTGAGGACGGCGCACATTCCTTACCACAGAAGGTCCTGCTGATCAGTCCTGGGATTGAGCATAGGCAGTGAGAGGAGGGTGAGGCCAGGCAACTGGGTGGGGACAGAGGGTATCTGGACATGGCTGACATGGATGTGTTCCTCCCTCCCCCCACAAGAGCACTGGTCAGCCCTGCTGGAAAAGGTTGCAGGGGCATTGCGGTGGGGGTGGGATGGCCTCATTAGCTCCTGTGCCAGAGAAAGCTTGAGTTTAGGAGGAGAGTGGATTTAAGAGACACCTAGGAGAAGCAGACTCGTGGGCATTGTGTGACTGGGTGCGGTGGGGCTGAGGAAGCAACGGTTTCAGATGGTGGTGGCTGGTGACTGGAGACGCGTCCAGAGAGGGGTGTATATGGCAGCTGAGGGCGGAAGAGTACCCCAGAGCACAAGAACACTATGTCAGCTCTGCCACTTCCTTGCTTGTATGACCTTGCAAATCTCACTTCCCCTCTCCGGGTCTTACACCATGCAAGACTGGATTCCAAGAGGCTAAGGGCTTTGCCCCCAGAACCTTTGTGTTTCAGTGGGGAAAGGTAGTGGATCCCAGGGTGAGTTGGGTGGTAGGTTCAGTGGGAGTGGCGGGAGTGACCTAAAGTGTGCCTCCCCACCCCTGGACACCTCCCCAAGATAATTCTTGCTCTTTTACTATTTCTGGGCACATGGGGGCTTTCAGTTCCACCTGCAAGCATCAGAGGGAAGAAAACTGAGTGGTGCCCCTGAGAGGTGGCTACTTGGAACGTAGCATCTGTAGCTGGCTAGAAAGGGGCTGCAGAAGGGCTTCTGCTTGGCTCCCCACTAGGGCCTGGTGAGCATTTTGAAGGTCTGTTGTCACCAAGCACTGCCCTTGCAGCATTTGATTCAAGGGGTGGAGGGAATACCCAGCTCTGAGATGCCTCTGTGCCTGTCTGGTAGCCTTGACAACAAGAATGCACCAACACTGGCAGCCACAGTTGCTGGTAGTCTGCACATCTAGCCCTGCTTGCAAAAAAGAAGAAAGAGAAAGCCCCCATGGGTCAGGTTTAGGGAAATCTGAAATGGGTCATTTTGAGTCTGGCTTAATGACTCCTGTCAGCCCGAGGCTTTGTGAGAGCCAGGGGGTGGTGGAAAGACCCGGACGCTAACAGGATGGAGGTCCTATAGGGTGCGCGAGTAGGACCACGGAAGCCTGCATGGCACCTCCACCGTCGCCAGAGGGGTTACCCATGGACCTCATTGCAGACAGGGAGATTGAAACGAGCACAGCCACGGCAGACATGCCCAAGGACACTGAGGACACCCAAGGTCACAGGAGGTGGGGCTGGAACCCAGGTGCTCTATGCAGCTGGGTGCTGTTGTGCCCACTTGGGCCTCCGTGCAGGCGTGTGTCCACAGGCTACCACTACTACCCTTGAGGCCTTTCAAGTATAGGCTAGTCTCTTAATTTCTTAATTTATAAAAACCATGGGTAAAATTTAGAAAACATTTATAAAGCCCCCAAACTACAACATTTACAGACCTGTGTGAGTGTTTGGGCTGAAAGCACCCAAGCTGGGTGGCTGAATGCAACAGAAAGCCCTTCTCTCCCAGTTCTGGAGGCTGAAGGCAGAAATCCAAGTGTGGCCAGTCTCCGCTCCTGTGAGGCCTTGGGAGGGTCCTGCCCCTCCCGGTTCTGGGGGCTGGCAGTCCTCCCTGTTTTTGGCTGCTGGACACATGGCCCCGTCTCTGCCTCCATGTTGCATGGGCTTGTTGCATCTGTCTCTGAAGACTCTTTCTCCAAGGACACCAGGTACTAGATTTAAGACCCACCTGAATC